ATACATAAGTGTGTATCGTTCCGTACAGTGTGTATCGTTCCATACATAAGTGTGTATCGTTCCGTACAGTGTGTATCGTTCCATACATAAGTGTGTATCGTTCCGTACAGTGTGTATCGTTCCATACGTAGTGTGTATCGTTCCATACATAAGTGTGTATCGTTCCATACATAAGTGTGTATCGTTCCATACATAAGTGTGTATCGTTCCATACATAAGTGTGTATCGTTCCATACAGTGTGTATCGTTCCATACAGTGTGTATCGTTCCATACAGTGTGTATCGTTCCGTACGTAGTGTGTATCGTTCCGTACGTAGTGTGTATCGTTCCGTACGTAGTGTGTATCGTTCCATACGTAGTGTGTATCGCTCCATACATACGTAGTGTGTATCGCTCCATACATAGTGTGTATTGTTACACAGTGTACTGAACGGTTCCATACAAATATATGGATTGTTGCACTACTAATAAGAAATAGGAGACTTTTTATTTCCTTATATTTTTTAAAAAGAAGTACAGATAATTGCATGGAAATATAAGAAGTAGAAGTAAAAAGCCAGCAGAAAAAAACAAGTATTTTTATTTGTTACGTTACAGTTCAAAAATAAAACGGTCTTTTGTTTAGTTGTGAATAATTTCAATGTTTCCTCTGATGGTATAAAATCTGTGACTCTCAGCTACAACAAACTTTAGCTCAATATTGACTCAACTATTCGTTACACTCATTCCTCTGTGGCGGCCATCTTGAACAGAGCTCCATTTTCTTGGTTTGTGACTTGTTGCTAATGCTAGAGAGAGAGAAAAAAAACACAAAAACACTGTCGTTCTTTCACCTTCTGCGGCTGCTGATAAATATTTATAATCCAGTAAATAAATGTCTGAACTCGTTCCGTTTGTGGTTTCCTTCAGTCATGTTTTCCTCGCAGTGACTCAGCTTGGTGACTGGATGCAAACTGTGTGTTTTTCAGGACAAAGCCGCCTTGGAGAGTTTGAGTCAGCAGCTGAAGCAGCAGGCCGAGGACAAGTTCAGCCACGCCATGTTGGACTTCACCATGAGCGGAGACTCTGACGGTACCGGAGAAAAACTCTCTATTAGGTTTAACCTGAGAAAACGGTTCATTAGGAACCATCAGTAGGTGATCGATGGAGGTTTCTCTGCTCCAACACACCTGATTTAATCATCAGGTGATTAACAGGCTTCTGCAGGTGTGTTGGAGCAGAGAAATTTATGTTTGTGCCGAGTTTAGTTTGCCTTATTTTTCTTTTTTATCCAAATTCATCTTGAAAGCCCATTACAGTAATGATTCTCTTACRTTTATTTTGATCTATGTTTATTTTTTATTGTTACTATCTTTAATTCAATTATTATTGCTACAGTTAATAATGTAACATAGCAATATAGTATACTGTTTCTGTGGACTGATGTATGTATTTGCTGCTGTTACACCTGAATTTCCCCACGCAGGACCAGTGTTGTATAAAGTACCTAAAAGTGATACTTAAAAGTACAAGCATCTTACCAAAAAATTACTTTGGTAAAAGTTAAAGTCTTCTCTAAAAATATTACTTCAGTAAAAGTCTTAAAGTATCTGATATTTTTGTACTTAAGTAT